CACACACACACACACACACACACACACACACACACACACACACACACACACACACACACACAACACACACACACACACACACACACACACACACACACACACACACACACACACACACACACACACACACACACACACACACACACACACACACACACACACACACACACACACACACACACACACACACACACACACACACACACACACACACACACACACACACACACACACACACACACACACACACACACACACACACACACACACACACACACACACACACACACACACACACACACACACACACACACACACACACACACACACACACACACACACACACACACACACACACACACACACACACACACACACACACACACACACACACACACACACACACACACACACACACACACACACACACACACACACACACACACACACACACACACACACACACACACACACACACACACACACACACACACACACACACACACACACACACACACACACACACACACACACACACACACACACACACACACACACACACACACACACACACACACACACACACACACACACACACACACACACACACACACACACACACACACACACACACACACACACACACACACACACACACACACACACACACACACACACACACACACACACACACACACACACACACACACACACACACACACACACACACACACACACACACACACACACACACACACACACACACACACACACACACACACACACACACACACACACACACACACACACACACACACACACACACACACACACACACACACACACACACACACACACACACACACACACACACACACACACACACACACACACACACACACACACACACACACACACACACACACACACACACACACACACACACACACACACACACACACACACACACACACACACACACACACACACACACACACACACACACACACACACACACACACACACACACACACACACCACACACACACACACACACACACACACACACACACACACACACACACACACACACACACACACACACACACACACACACACACACACACACACACACACACACACACACACACACACACACACACACACACACACACACACACACACACACACACACACACACACACACACACACACACACACACACACACACACACACACACACACACACACACACACACACACACACACACACACACACACACACACACACACACACACACACACACACACACACACACACACACACACACACACACACACACACACACACACACACACACACACACACACACACACACACACACACACACACACACACACACACACACACACACACACACACACACACACACACACACACACACACACACACACACACACACACACACACACACACACACACACACACACACACACACACACACACACACACACACACACACACACACACACACACACACACACACACACACACACACACACACACACACACACACACACACACACACACACACACACACACACACACACACACACACACACACACACACACACACACACACACACACACACACACACACACACACACACATATACACACACACGCGCGTCGGAGGAGAAGTAGTCGACCAAGTCGACGTCGGCGAAGGACGCCGACTCCTCCTCTGGCGGCAAGGGGCGAGTTGACGGGGAGGCGTCGTGCTCGCTGGTCGGTGTCGTGGAGCTGACCGTTTTGCTGGTGCCGGAAGCCAGCGAGGATTTCCAGGCGGTGGCATACGTCGTGTAGGCTCACCCGGCGATGGTCCTACTCGAAAGTGGCTGCTCGCATCACCTGATGGGGACGAGGGAGGCCTTCGTCAACCTGGGGCCGAGCGGCGACGTCAAGCACGTGCACGGCTTCAATGGAGCGCTGCACGACGTCCAGGGCCGAGGCATCGTCGTCTTGTGAGGGGAGGCCGGGAAGCATGTGCTCATCCCCGATGTGCCTTACGTCCCGGGCGTGCAGGCGAACCTGTTGTCGGCTGGCCAGCTGCAGAAGAGCAGCGTGAAGATGCAGGACGGCGGCGACGGGATGCTGCTCGTCTCGGCGGCGGGGGACGTTCTTGGTTGGGCAAAGTACACCGGCCGGGTCCTCTGCACCGACCTTCGCCCTTGCTCGACAAAGTCGACGATGGCACCGACTGCAGTGCTGGCCCTGCAAGCGATATTCCCGGCGACGAGGTCAACGCCGGCCAGGTGGCACGCGAGACTCGCGTATGTCGGCGTCGACACCATCACGAGCTCGGCGAAGCACGAGGTCGACACCGGCCTGGACATCACGCCGTTAGCCGGCACCGACTCCTCGTGTGTCTCGTGCGTCGGCGGAAAGCTTCCCCGACAAGGGCTCGGATGCCGACAACGCCTTGGCCGTCGTGCACATCGACCTGTGCGGGCCGTTCCGGGTAGCCGCCAAGGATGGCAGCCTCTAATTCTTGCTGCTGAAGCACCGCAAGACCCGCTACGTGTCGGTGAGTCCGGTCGCCAAGAAGTCGGACGTGCCACGGCAGTTCGAGAACTGGCTGCTGATGGCTGAGCGGCAGAGAAGGAAGTCGGCGATGATGCTACGCTCTGATCGCGGAGGGGAGTTACTCGGGAAGCAGTTCACCGACTTCGTGGATGGTAAGGGCATCCTTCACGACCTCACCTGCCCGTACACCCCGCAGCAGAACGGCATGGCGGAGCGGGAGATGAGGACAGTGGTCGAGTCGGTGCAGTCGATGCTGCTGCACATGGGCGTGCAGCACCTCTGGTGGCACCTCGCCCTGCGGCAGGCCGTCTGGGTGCGTAACTGCCTGGAGAGGTCGACGCTGCCGCCAAGGACGACTCCGTACCAGCTGCTGACTGGCAAGAATCTCGACTTGACGCTGGCCCGTGTGTGGGGCTGCATGGCGCAATTCTTGGTCCCCAAGCAGCAGCGTGGCAGAAAGCTGGCGCCGAAGGCCAGGTGGGGCCTTCACCTCGGTGGGTCGCAGGAGAACTCGTCGACCTCACCGACAACAAGGTGGTCACTACGTCGGACGTGGTGTTCTACGAGACCATGTCGCTGGAGATGTGGAAGTCGGAGCACAGGCTGACGTCAGGGCGGACACAAGTGAACCCGCCGACGGACACCTCGACGTCGACACTCTCATTGCTCGCCGAGGTTGGTGAGATTGCTGATGAGGACGCCGAGAACGCCCTCCCTCCTTCCTCTTCTCCTGCCCCACCCCTTGTGGCCGACCTGCATGAGCTGGCACTGACGTCGGCCTCCGGCGATGAGGGGAGCAGTGGGGCGTCGCCTGTGGCGCCGATCAAGAGCATCGCCGGCGGCCGACGTGACGTCCAGCAAGTCGGTGTGAAAGGGAAGCCGCCGACGACAAGGAAGCAGCGGGCTATCGAGAAGTCGCCGACAGGGGAGACGTCGGCGAAGGAGGCGTCGGCAGGGAAGCCACCGAGAAGGGAGCAGCGAGCAGTGAAGTCGACCCTGGAGCTGTCGGCGACCGGGAAGTTGGCAGGGGAGCCAACGACAAGGGAAAAATCTGCAGTGACGCCGACCTTGATGCAGCAGGCCGGTGAAGGCAGCGAAGCCGGCATCGATGAAGGGGAATATTCGGCCGCCGAACAGTCCACCGACAGCGACGTGGTGGAGGTCCAGGTCGACCAGCCTGGGCCGCGGCGTTCAGGCCGACTTTGGGGGCCGCCTGAGCGGCTGACCTACCACGTCTGCATTCCGCCGACCGCCTTCACCATGTTGTGCGACGACGCCGAGGATGACACGCTGCACGACGACGCCGAGGACGATGTCGACTTGCCAGAGCTCGACCCCGACATGCTCGCCGACCCCGAGCACCGCTGGGACATTGCGACGATGACGGTGAAGGAGGCGTTGGCGAGCTACAAGGGCAAGGCGGTGAAGGCTGCCATGGACGAGGAGACCCGCAGCCTCATCGCCAACGGCACGTGGGTGCTAGTCGAGCGCCCCCCAGGGGTGAACATCACGAAGAACCGGTGTGTGCTGATGACAAAGTACCACATCGACGACACCATCGAGCGCGAGAAGGCGAGGCTGGTCGTAAAGGGCTGCACTTAGGTGTATGGCGCCGACTACGACGAGACGTACGTGCCGGTGAGTAGCTATGTCACGCTGAGGATCTTCCTCAGCATCGTCGCCGTCCTCGACCTCAACCTGATGCAGCTCGACATGAAGAACGCCTTCCTACAGAGCAAGCTCGACCGGATGCCTTTCTACATGTACCAGCCGGACTACTACAACGACGTGACCGGCCGGGTGTGCAAGCTGCTGAAGAGCCTTTTACGGGCTGAAGCAGTCGTCGCTGCTGTGGTACCGGACGCTCGACGCCGTGTTGATGGGCGCATGCTGGAAGAAGAGCCAGGTCGACGAGGCTCTTTACTTTAAGGCCGGCGACGATGTAGTAGCCTGCTGGGTGTGTCACGAGACGAACTTAGCTAGGAACGGGTTTAACTAAGGGCCTAGGCTTAGTAGCCTAGGCCAAGCGGGTGTCGAGGGAGTTGTGCCAAGAGAGAATCGAGAATGTGTGTCTTCACTATAGGTTTGCAAGAACATATAGCAAAGAAACAAAGAGGTGCACCACCACAACAAAGAAACATAACTACACTAAAGCTAAAGCTACAGGCAGTTATAAACATATATAAATATATATCGCGACACACCCCCTTAACTGCCTGCAGCACATAGCTAGAGCAAGTCACACCCCCTGAAGGGGCAGGTGCGGTGGGAGACGGCAGAGGGGTACGTGAGGAGGAGGAGGCAAGAGGAAGAGAGGAGAGGAGAATAGATAAGAACACAGGAGGAGGTGAGTGGGGGATGAGGAGAGGAGGTGGGGGGTGGCCGCAGCGTCCCCTCTTACTAACCCCCTTTTATGAAAGGGGGGGTTGAGTGGGGGATGAGGAGAAGAGGTGGGGGGGTGGCCGCAGCGTCCCCTCTTACTAACCCCCACATCCCCACCCCCAACCAACCACCCGCCCTCAACCTCACCCCCCATTTCAGTCGCCCCCTGGAACCGCACTCCCTCCACCCCTGTCTTCCTCCATACCTCTCCCAACCCACGATGGTCCCTGTACAGTCTTTCACAGGTGGGCTGCTGGGCACAGGTGGGGCTGCTGGTCACAGGTGGGGCTGCTGGTCACAGGTGGGGCTGCTGGTCACAGGTGGGGCTGCTGGTCACAGGTGGGGCTGCTGGTTACAGGTGGGGCTGCTGGTCACAGGTAGGGCTGCTGGTCACAGGTGGGGCTGCTGGTCACAGGTGGGGCTGCTGGTCACAGGTGGGGCTACTGGTCACAGGTGGGGCTGCTGGTCATAGGTGGGGCTGCTGGTCACAGGTGGGGCTGCTGGTCACAGGTGGGGCTGCTGGTCACAGGTGGGGTTGCTGGTGCTGGTGCTGGCGGCTGGCGCTGGTGCTGGTTCCTGGTGCTGGCAGCTGGCACTGGGGCTGGTTCCTGATGCTGGCGGCTGGTGCTGGGGCTGGTTCCTGGTGCTGGCGGCTGGCGCTGGTGCTGGTTCCTGGTGCTGGCGGCTGGCACTGGGGCTGGTTCCTGGTGCTGGCGGCCGGCGCTGGGGCTGGTTCCTGGTGCTGGCGACTGGCGCTGGGGCTGGTTCCTGGTGCTGGCGGCTGGCGCTGGGGCTGGTTCCTGGTGCTGGCGGCTGGCGCTGGGGCTGGTTCCTGGTGCTGGCGGCTGGCGCTGGGGCTGGTTCCTGGTGCTGGCGGCTGGCGCTGGGGCTGGTTCCTGGTGCTGGCGGCTGGCGCTGGTGCTGGTTCCTGGTGCTGGCGGCTGGCGCTGGTGCTGTTCCGCCATCACTCCCTTCCCCTCCTCTCTCTCCTTTCCACAGCGTCCCACCGCCACTCCCTTCCCCTCCTCCCTCTCCTCCCCATGGCGACCGCCGCTGCACACGCAAACAGTCGCGACGAGGGGGGGGGGGGGGGGGTGACGGGCAGGGGGCGGGGGGAATGCGACGGGCAGAGCGGGCGAATGAGCGGCTGGGGCGATCGCCAGTGCTCTGGCGATCGTCGCTGGCGTTCCCCCGTCACTCCTATCCCCTCTTCCCTCTCGCCCCCACAGAGTTCCGCCGCCACTCCCATCCCTTCTTCCCTCTCCCCCCCACAGCGACCGCCGGTGCGACGGGCGAGGTGCAAGGTGGCGCTGGCTGCAGTCGATGGCGCAAACGCGATCGCGGGCCGCTGGCGACTTCGCTGGCGACTTCGCTGGCAGGTCGCTGGCGGCGGGTCCGCTGGCGTTCGCCATAGCGTCTGCCGCGCCCGTCGCGCTGAGAGCCGCGACGAGGCAGGCGACGGGGGGCAGCGCGAGCAGCAGGGAAAAAAAAAAGATACGCAAGGTGCGGATTTCGCGCCACTAACTGTAGCAGTTGCGAAATGTGGTGGGCCCATAAACGAAATAGGTCCTAGGACGGACCACTCTGTTACCATGTCACGAGACGAACTTAGCTAGGAACGGGTTTAACTAAGGGCCTAGGCTTAGTAGCCTAGGCCAAGCGGGTGTCGAGGGAGTTGTGCCAAGGGAGAATCGAGAATGTGTGTCTTCACTATAGGTTTGCAAGAACATATAGCAAAGAAACAAAGAGGTGCACCACCACAACAAAGAAACATAACTACACTAAAGCTAAAGCTACAGGCAGTTATAAACATATATAAATATATATCGCGACAGGGTGCTGGTCTACGTCGACGACCTGCTCGCCGCCAGCAGCAGCTCTGCGATGCTGAAGGAGCTGAAAGAGCTACTGTAGGCCGCCTTCGAGTTGCGCGAGATCTCGCCGGTCGTGAAGTACCTCGGACTGGAGATCGTGCGCGACAGGGTGGCGGGGAAGCTGTGGATGCACAAGCAGGGCTACGCCGACAAGCTGCGTAGGTGCTTCATCGACGAGGAGCCGACCTGGCGCACCCCGAAGAGGCCGGTCAACGCGGCAAGGGAGTGTCAACGGGAGTTGTGTGTTGGCCCGTCCTCGCTTGAGTGGAGCTGACTTCGTAGTCGTGTGTGCGGGGAGCGCAGCCGACTAGCTGAAGTGGGCGACGCCGACTTAGGGCGTGTAACTTTTTCATTTTTCATCGTCCGGACGGAGGCCCCGTCCGGACATTTGTAGGGTAACTAATTTCGCAGCACCTCGGTAAGAGATTCGCCAGACACTCTGCGACATCGCCATCGTCCGGACCATGTCTGACACTTTTCTGTAAAAAATTGGTCCGGATTACCCTGCTGACACCGTCCGAACGGCATATCGGACCGTCCGATTTTTCTGCGCTGTCATTGGCGCACGATTTGTTAAAAATCTCACCCAATACCACGCCGCTGATTTTTTTTGGCGAGCCCTCATGACACGTTTACGATTGCAGTAAGGCCTGTTACATTTCGTGGCGAAACAAAAAAAAATCGATAGTGCAAAAAGTTTCACATTTGTGGTCCGGACGAGCTGTCGTCCGGACCTGAGTCCCAAACGTCCGGACGGGGCTCCGTTCGGACGATTTGGGGGCTCCGTCCGGACATTTGACCAAAACGGAAAAAGTTACACGCCCTTAGGCGCGCAAGTCGACAGGCTTGGTTGACCTGCACGGGGCCACTGCGACGCCGCCGTCTTTTGGACGCCGGCGGCCGACTTCGACCCGGTGGTCGACGAGGGGAGGGGCGCCGACTTTGGAGGGCGCCGACTTGGAGGGCGCCAACTTTGGGAGGACGCCGACTTCGTGGCGTCGATCTGAGGGGCGTCGACTTGGTGACGCCGACCTGGGAAGCTGACTTGGTGTAGTCGGCGGACAGACGGTCTGGTCGACCAGAAGTGGTCGACTTGGGGGAGTGGCCGACTTCGGGAAGTCGGCGAGGGTGGTCGCCGACCTGGGTGGCCGCCGAGCACGAGGAGCAGCACTTGGTCGGCGTGGTTGCCCGGTCGACCAAGTTACATGGGCGACGTGGATCTGCGGGGGCGTGCGATAGTCGCCCATGTGGTTCAGGCGTCGCCAACCTCGGTGGTGGTATCCCGAGGTCGACGTGGCTGATCAGGGGTAGTCAATAGCATGTGGACGATTTGGTGTCTGCGCTGTGCACGTTACGGAGCACAGCACACCAATCAACTGCGAGCAACTGCGAAGCGATGCGCTGTTGTCCTGCGGGTGCAACGCTGTGCAGCCGCCTTGCTGCAGCGTTGGCATGCCGTTGATTTGCAGCGTTGGCAGGTCGCCACTTTGCACTGCTGGAGTGCGGTTGATTTTGTTGTGCCGGAACGCGGTCGACCGTGCTGCTTGCATGCTAGGCAAACTTGCATCTAATGTAGTCAGCTTTGCCAATGTTTTTGCAACCATTGTTGTAAACTTTAGCTAGGGAAACTCTTGCCAATTCTCCTCGTGAATGTGCGCATAGAGAGAACACAGGCAAACGCTAAGGAACGCTACGATCACTCTCACAACCGTGCCTTCCCCCGTAGTTTGGCTCCCATTGTATTAGTTAGCTCCGCAGTTGTCGCACGCGTTTAACCAAATGCTGAATACTCCTCCGAAACTGTCGGCATTCCTTGCCGAAAACCGGTAAGTACAGCGTAAACCTCCGTAAATGTCGGGCCGAAAACAACCCCGTAAATCCGCAGGTGCATGTGCAGTTCTCCTCCCAAATCTTCGGACGTACTATAGCCACCCACTCGGTCACCAGTAGTTTCCTTCGATTTACCCGACCCCAGCATGTGGGTTCAATCAAGAACCGGGGACTTGCCCTAGGTTATTGCGACACCGAATTTCACGAAATCTAGTGGCATCAACGCAGTTGACCCCGTCGTCGAAACTCCTCCCGTCGATGATGTTTAACACAATACCACACAACTCCCACTTGCGCTTTGCAGACGTTTCACCCATCGCTCATCGCCTGCAGGTAAGTCCTGAAGCTTTGGCTGCTCCCACGCTCCTTTTACTAGAAGAATTTCCCGAGGTGTACCTTTAAACTCCGGCGAGTCCTAGGTATCCCTGCTGCTGTGTTTCTTGCCAGGCCGACTTCCTAGGTATCCCTGCTGCTGTTCTTCTTGCCAGGCCGACTACCACTGAGAGGCCCACTCCCCTGACACTGCCTCACGGTACGTGCGAGGAGTCGGTATGTCAAAGGTCTCCCTCAGGGGAAATCAGCATGGCATAGAGAGAGGGAGAAGCGGCTGCCAAGAACTCCAGCTCAAAGTGTCTGACCTCTAGGATGTCACAGCAAAGGGCAGACTCACCCCTGCCGGACAGAGGACGGACAGCCACCACACGCGTGGCGTAGTCAAGGCGGCGGGTGGTAGTAAAGTCACCAACGACGACAGTAAGAGCCGAGACACACGACGGAGAGGCACAAGGGTCAGTGACAAGAGAGGTGAGGACATGAGAGGCAACAGGGCGAGCAACACGGTAATAGTCAGAGATATGAGCAGAGGAGATAGGGAGAGACGACGCAGGAGGTGACGGGAAAAGACTCAGGCGGAGAACGGCGACGACTAGAACAAAAGAGGGCAGTGTGGAGGTTGTCAATGGGAGAGGAAGGACGAGCACGTGGAGGACAGGGACGGACACGGGAGTGCGGGACAACGGGAAGAGACGGGGACCGAGGAAGAGGGGAAACAGCCGGTGACGCGTCCGGAGGAGGAAACGTAGGACCGAAGGCAGGGGGAGACTGAGTGCTGACAGGAGAAGAGGAGGGAAGACCAAGGGCCCGAAGGCCACTCACGGCTGGTAACAACTGCCGCACGAGAGGTAGCTGCGACAGCTGCTGCTGCTGCTGCTGCTGCTGGTGGTGCTGCTGCTGCCGCTGCTACGGCTGCTGCTGCTGCTGCCGCTGCTGCTGCTGCTGCTGCTGCTGCTTCTGCTGCTGCCGCTGCTACTGCTGCTGCTGCTGCTGCTCTTCCTGCTGCTTCTGCAGGTCTAACTGTCGCATCTCCCGCCTCTCCTGCTCCAACCGCTCTTGCTCCTCACGCTCACGTCGACGGGCCGCCTGGAGACGTGTGTCGTGGCGGTGGGGAGGCTCAGTAGTAGTGCCTCCAGCGCCAGTCTCCTCAGAACCAGCACCTCCTGTGCCAGCACCCCCTGCTCCAGCACCCCCACAACTAGCACCTCCAGTGGCAGCACCTCCAGCTCCAACACCCCCTGAGTCCACAGTAACTTGTCGCGGAAGTGTCAAAGGCTGCGGAGGGGACTGTGAGGAGGAATGCGGGGAGGGAGACGCTACCTGACGCGCGACCGAGGGTAGAGGGGTAGCGTGAGACACACCTGATGGGGCAGGACCAGTGGGGGCGGGGGTATCGGAGAAGCGGGAGCAGGAGGAGGAGAGGGTGCAAGGGAAAGAGGAGGAGGGGGGGCCGGAAGACCTCGACAGGGGTACTGGGTGTAGTAGGACACGGACTTGTCAAACCGGACGTCACGGGAGTTGAGGAAACGATGGAGGGGCGGGTGGTAAGACACATGGGATGGCGCGAGCCGAGAGCTTATCCGCAGAGGTGTCGCGGACAAGTGCAAGGCAGCCCCAGATGTGGAACTCCGACGCAACACCAGGGGACCTGGTCCAAAGACTGGTCGGTGAATCCCCTGGTCGTGAGTCACGAGGCCAGAGGTTTAGCTGGTGGGCGGCGTAGCGAACCGCGTAAGGCCACATAAAATGGGGCGCACGTGCACGGATCATGGAGGTGCGGGCGATCTCCATGACCAAGCCAATGCGGCGCTCACCAACCCCATTCTGCTGTGGGGACTCCGGAAGTGTCCAAGACAGTGTGATGCCCTGCTCGCCGCAGAACCCGGCAAGTACGTCGGAACGAAACTCAACCCCACCGTTGGAGTGGAGACTACTGACACGATTGCCATGAATGCCCTCAGTGGCCAGAAGCCACCGGATCAGCGTAGAAGTCACCTCGGACTTTTTTCGTAAGAGGAAACACCGTGGTGTACCTGGAGTAGTCGTCAACGACCACTAGAAAGAAGCGCTCCTGCTCGGGCCCAGCACGAGGGGCTGGGCCCCAGACGTGCAAGTGAAGGGTCTGGAAGGGAGCGGTGGCCGGACGAAGGGAGGAGGAGTGAGGAGTGGCGCGCAGACAACCCTCGACGCAAGGAGTGCACGACGACACAGGCGAGCGCAGGAGCGACTCAAAGACCCGCGGGAGACCTGAGACAAGACGCTGGCTGGCCATGCTACGGAGGCGTGGGAGGGACGGGTGAAATAGACGATGGTGCCACAAGACTGTCGGGTGGGAGAGTGACCGACAAGGGCAAGACGCAGCAACCTGAACTGAGGC